TCCTAAACTGCGTATACCATTTGTGTTTATGTGTTTCAACCAACCAGAATAGACTTGGATGCATTTAAAATAAAAGTTAATTTGGTCTTTACCTTCGGTTTTAACCATTAAAGGCGACAAAGAACATGTAACGTTGCTGTCAGTGTTGCTGAGCAAACGGTGCTCTTGCAGATGCAGCTCTGCACTGTGCAGACGACAGGACAATCACATGCAGCCTGGGACAGTGACGTGAACTCATGTGCTGTGTCATGCATTCGCCGTCATGTGCAGCGAACAGAAAGTGAGAGTAGCAACAACGGCTGCACTGATCACACCGCTGGTTTTGCATGTTTCAGCCTGTTAATCGCAGATTTGTTATACTTTACATTATTGGCACCCATTCTGCGCCCTCCAGGCATCTTTTGGTTTAATGCATGTCTTGGAAGCTCGACCTGCAGAGACTTGAAACGCGGCAGAGTCGGAGCGTTCATCACCGTAAACATCATGTCTGCTTTCACTGATTGATCAAATCAGTCTGCACCTACGAATGCGACAAAAATGTAACTCTGACACCAATGAAAACAGGCAGGATGTTTGCTGTGATGGATGGCTTTAAGGCGAACGCCAGCAGTCATGGCTGGTCACAGCCTGTTCCTTATCTCTGCTGCAGACTGTCAGCTCGGAGCTACATTAGAGGCCACTAGCACTACACACCTACATCTCCAACTGAACTGTCAGCACTGGAGTTGCATTGTGGGTAATGTAGGCTGCAGGTCTTGACAGGGACAAATACTGCGTGGAGTAAAAAAGATAATATCTGATCCAATTTAAGTCCCTGCAGGTTGATTTCTGACAAAAATAATCCTTAAAGTTACTACAATGAGAAACTTTCTTGAAATAATGAGTTATAATTAGTTTCTTTTGATACAAGGTCAATATTTTGAGAAACTAACTCGTTATTTTAAAAAACTAAGTCGTTATTTTGAGAAGTTTCTTATTTTTTCAAGATACTAAGTCGGTTTTTTTTAGAAAGTTTCCAATTATTTTGAGAAACTACATCATGATTAAAGATACTAAGTCAATATTTTGAGATATTAACTCGTTATTTTAAAAAAATTAAGTCGTTATTTTGAGAAGTTTCTTATTTTTTCAAGATACTAAGTTGTTTTTTTTTTTTTTTTTAAGTCAATATTTTGAGCTATTAACTCGTTATTTTAAAAAACTAAGTCATTATTTTGGGAAGTTTCTTATTTTTTCAAGATACTAAGTCAGTTTTTTTTTTAGAAAGTTTCCAATTATTTTGAGAAACTACATCATGATTAAAGATACTAAGTCAATATTTTGATATTAACTCATTATTTTAAAAAACTAAGTCGTTATTTTGAGAAGTGTCTTATTTTTTCAAGATACTAAGTTGTTTTTTTTTTTGTTTTTTTAGAAAGTTTCCAATTATTTTGAGATACGACATCATAATTAAAGATACTAAGTCAATATTTTCAGATGTTAACTCATTCATTTGAGAAACTTCCTCATTATTTTGAGATGCTGAGTCATAATTTTGAGATGCTGAGTGATTAGTTTCATAAAGTTTCTCATTACTTAAGGGAAGTTAGTAGTTGAGAAACTAGAAGTCCTTATTTGGGAAAGTATTTTTTTAATTTCAATAAGTAAGTCAATAAGTCAATTTTTAGATGGTCATTTTAAAGATATTAAGTCATATTTTAAGAGTTTTTCATTAATTCGAGATTATTATTTTGGGAAGTTTCTTAATACACTAAGTAATTTCTTTAGATGCTTAGTCATATTTTGAGATATTAACTCGTTATTTTTAGAAACTAAGTCATATTTTGAGAAAGTTTCCATTTATTTTTAATATATGACATCATAACTAAAGATACAAAGTCAATATTTTGAGATATTAACTCATTATTTTTAAAAACTAAGTCATATTTTGAGAAGGTTTCGTATTATTTTTGAGATGCTTAGTCATTAGTTTGAGTAAGTTTCTCATTATTATGAGATACTACATCATAATGAAAGATAATAAGTCAATATTTTGAGATATGACCTCATAATTTTGAGAAACTGAGTCATATTTTGAGAAAGTTTCGTATTATTTTGGGACGCTGAGTCATAATTTTGAGATGCTTAGTCACTAGTTTGAGTAAGTTTCTCATTATTATGAGATACTACATCATAATTAAAGATACTAAGTCAATATTTTGAGATATTAACTCATTATTTTGAGAAACTGAGTCATATTTTGAGAAAGTTTCGTATTATTTTGAGATGCTTAGTCAGTTTGAGTAAGTTACTCATTACTTCAAGTAAGTTAGTAGTTTGGATACTAGGTCATTATTTTGAGATACTACTAAGTCAATATTTTGAGATATGACCTCATAATTTTGAGAAACTGAGTCATATTTTGAGAAAGTTTCCTATTATTTTGGGACGCTGAGTCATAATTTTGAGATGCTTAGTCATTATTTTGAGTAGGTTTATCATTATTTTGAGATACTACATCATAATCATCGATACCAAGTCAATATTTTGAGATATTAACCCATTATTTCAAGAGACTAAGTCATGTTTTGAGAAAGTTTCATATAATTTTGGAATGCTGAGTCATAATTTTGAGATGCTGAGTCATTAGTTTGAGTAAGTTTCTCATTACTTCAAGTAAATTAGCAGTTTAGATACTAAGTTAATATTTTGAATAACCAGAAGTCCTTATTTTGGAAAGTATTTTTCTCATTACAAGACAATGAGTCAATTTTTAGATGGTCATTTTTTAAGATACTGAGTCATATTTTGAGAAAGTTTCTCATTAACTCAAGATTCTAAGTCATTTTAAAGATTTTTTCATTAATTCGAGATTATTATTTTAGGAAGTTTCTTAAGTAATTTCTTTAGATGCTAAGTCATATTTTGACAGAGTTTCAATTATTTTGAGATACTACATCATAATTACAGATCCCAAAGTCAATATTTTGAGATATTAACCCATTATTTCAAGAAACTAAGTCATATTTTGAGAAAGTTTTGTATTATTTTGAGATGCTGAGTCATAATTTTGAGATGCTGAGTCATTAGTTTGAGTAAGTTTCTCATTATTTCAAGTAAGTCAGTAGTTTAGATACTAAGTCAGTATTTTGAGTTACTAACTCTTCATTTTTAGAAAGGAAAAGTCATTATTTTGGTAAGTTTCTTATAAGAGAAGTATACTTGCTGCAGACAACGCCTGTGCATGCGCGTACGCATCATGGCTGCCATGCGTATTTTGCGGTCGTTTGGTGCGTAGGCCACTCACTTTGACGCGAGGTGACGTGCATGAGATGCAATATTGACATGAACACTAGAGGCGCTCATGCAAAGTAGACCTCTAGAGACTGTGAAGGTGAGGTCGGGCCGCACATACCATCTCCAATGGCGGCAGAGACTACGCCTTTTCCTCTGCCGAGATCTTAAAAGACATAAAATTATAATCTCCTCTTCATCGAGAGTATCCATGTTTCTGTATAGCGTTTCTGTAAAGTTTCCAATTATTTAAAGATACCAAGTCATAATTTTGATGTGCTTAGTCATTATTTTAAGTAGGTTTGTCATTACTTTGATAGACTACATCACGGTTACAGATACTAAGTTAGTATTTTGAGAAACTAAAAGTGATTATTTTTATTTTTATTTTTATTATTAGTTTTTATTATAAGTGAATTTTTTAGATGGAAAGTCATATTTTGAGAACATTTTCTAATTTTTTGAAGTCATGATCTTGACAACCTCAGTCATTATTTTTAAGAATGTTTGTTAATATTTTGAGATACTAAGTCTACTTTTGAGAAAGTTTCTCATTAACTCAAGTCATTTTTAAGATATTAAGTCATATTTTAAGAGTTTTTTTTATTAATCTGAGATATTGATTCATTATTTTGACAAACTAAAAGTCAGTAAGTTGGTCATTTTTAGATGCTCAGTCATTATTTTAAGAAAGATTGCTATTATTTTGGTATTTTTGGTTTTAAACTAAATCATTTTGACACACTAAGTAATTATTTTTAGATACTAGGTAGGCATTAATGTGGGATTCTAACTTATTATTTTGAGATACTTGGTCATTATTTCGAAAGTGTCTCACTGTAATGTTTTATAGGATTTTTTTGTTTCACTGTCACAGTGGCAGAAATGGGCCTCCATACCTATGTAAAGTACTTGTGATGCATTAAAATGGCTAAAATATGCAAAATCATGTTTAAAGCGAATCATGAGATCCAAAACAGCGATGATGCTCTTGGACACGTGCGTTACCAAAAACAAACGCAGCACAAACACACACAGACCAACGCTCAAACATCGACAACAAGTGACGTGACATCGGGTTCAAAATGTATCATCACACAGGATACATTCTAACCCGCCGGGGTTACCTTTCAGGTTACTAACTGACGCGCACGCAGGACGCCCGGGCTCCTGCGTTCTTTCAGGCAGGAGGCGACACTCCACCGGGAGACGCCCGTTTTCCAGAGACGCCCAGCAGCTGTCCTGCAGCACCTGGCAGAAGCTGCGACAGGGCAGGTGCGAGGGCGCGGCGGGTGACGGGCACCTCGGTGCCAGCAGGAGGCAGAGGAACCATTCTGCGCTGTGGTGACACTTTGCCCTCGTGAGCCACGCCCACTCCTGTAGGACCGCCCCCACCTCCTCCACAGATGTGTGGTTGAAATAGTTGGGCAGCGTGAAATATTTTGGGCGTTTGCCAGAGCAAATGGGCCAATCAGAAGGCACGGGGAGACAAGGTGGGGCAGAACCATTGATGCGACTATCAGGGGGGGTTACCATGGAATCCAAAACACTGTCAACAGTCTCATTGATCTTAGAAACATCACCTATGATCCCGGTTACATTGATAGCGAGGACTTTATCACCTCTGAACACTAAATCTGACCCAAGATCAGATCCTGACCCAGACCCTACCCCGATCCCAGATCCCTCCTCCACCCTCACCCCTCTGAACCTGTTTGTATTACCCGTCATGTTAGGGTTAGCGCTCTCCACCTTCTCTGTCAGGCCTCCGTTAGTAGTAGTCCTGGCGGTCGGGGTCACGTCCCACGCCTCGACAGACTTACGGGTTCCTGTGGCCATGGTGATGATTTCTTCCCCAACCCCGGATAAGTTGTCATCCTCCTCCTCTTCCTTCGCCTGCGTGCCATTGACTGTCGTGTTGGCACCTGTCGTTGCTGCTGGCGTCGTCCCCGTTACGTTCATCTGCACTGGGGCCTCTGTGGTGGTCTTTGGGACTGCAAACCACAACCAGGCATCCAAGCTCCCCGCATAGAGGACCAGGAGAAGCAACCACGTCTGGAGCCTCAACATGCTGCTGGCTCCTGCAACAGTCCTGCAAGTGTCTCAGCGTGCAGCAGCAGCACTCCACACAGCGCTCTCACTGTTCCCCCAAGCACCACCTGTTATCCAGCCGGTCAACAGTTAAATCCAAGCTGTTCAAGGGCCACTGAGCATCCACTGAATGAAAACCAAGACATAAAAACCCTGCTTGCACTCAGAGACCCTCCCTCCAGATCTCCCAGTGCATGCAAACTCATGAAAAAGCACTTACATGGGCAGGGGGGGACCCAGAGTATGGAGGCAGGCTTGTGCACTGGTGATGGATGTCATTGGTTACTAAAAGTTGCCCCAACACACACTCCTCCCCTGCCCTGTGCGAGCTGATGAGTGTGTCCCCTAAGACCTTTTTCTGCAGCCTGGTGAAAAAGCATGCGAGCCTTCGTGTTACCACAACGACACGCCCGTTCTGCACGGAAATAAATATGGAGTTTTTAAAATATATTTAGGCCATAATAGACAGGTTTACTTCACGTTGTGCTCAGGGCTGGAATTCCAAGCTGCCATGCGTATCGAAATGGGCAAGTTCAGAGGCAAAATGCTGAGATGCAGCCTCCTCAGTCATCAGCAAGCATTTCAGAAAGAGAGAGAAATTCACTGCGGGTTTAAAGAGCAATGTTTAACCTTAACATCCCATGTCTTAGAGGGTAAGCTCGGGACTTTCCAACCTGGAACATATTTTCCAATGTTGTGTGTCTGAGTGACTCGTGGGAACAACAACTAAACAAAAACTATGATGACAAATGTTCAACAATGACCTCTTTTCCATGACAAAGACAAGATGTTAATGAGCTACATACAGATCTCTGATGATAAAATGTATGTTTCATTTTCGAGAGGATGACTGAATGATGCACATGGCGTGAAATACGCAAATTAAGCGGCACGAATAAAGCGAATAGCCAATTTCGAGGGTTGAAAAATCTGAATTTCAGTGACCAATTTGCGCCGCGATAGCCAATCAGAACTGAGATCCAATCGGGACATATGACACCGAAGACGTAACGGCAAAAGTTCATTCACAGATTCAATGATATTTCACGCATGTATAATGCTAACAATAAGTTATTCGCGCATATACGCGAGTTAACACTAAATATTTAAGCACTTCGTGCGAACACAACATAATGCCAATGAGCGGTATGAGATCGGAGTGCCGACAGGATGTAAACTCCAGTAAATAGTCGGCACCAGGATGTTTTGTGTCAGCCATCAGTATGAGTTGTGAGCTATAATTTAGCAGTGCTAGCTTTGTTAGCAGCTAGCTCAGCTTGTTAGCTGCTAACCACAACCAGTGGTATAATGTTTTCATTTTAGGTGTCATCGACTAAAACTATTAATCATAAAAACGACTAAAATGTGAGAAAAACTAATTAGCATTTTCGTCTAAAGACTAAGATTGACTCTAAAGGAGCTGCCAAAATTAACACTGTTTGTCACTGACAGGCTCAGATTGTTATTATAGGTGTCTGACAGCATTATGGAAAGGATCCCAACAGAGATAAACCTTTTTGTTAAAGTGAAAATCCTTTTTGTTTTACCAGAAACAGCTGGAAATCGCTATCACCAAACCCACCAGACTCCCCTTAAAGGGTAAGTTCAGTATTTTTCAAGCTGGACCCTATTTTCACATGCTTTTGTGTCTATAGGTGACAAACGCACACAACAATATCCGACACTGGTCCAGTATTGAGAGAGAGCGCTGCAGCTGGCTGTGGCGAAACAGGCTGCAATGTAACCAACTGGGGCAACTGTGCACGGTCAGTTGACGTCCACTAAAAGTGCTTGCTTTTGCCACTGACAGGCTCAGATCGGTTTTTTAAGTGTGTGACAACACCATGGAAAGGATCCCTACAGAGATTAACCAGACACGGCCCCAAAATCGCTATTGCCAATTTCACCAGACCCCATTGGAACAAATAGAAATTTTAGCGTGTATAAAGAAGGGTTGTCATGAGAACCGATACTTCGGTACCAAGTCGATGCCAACCATAAAAAATATGTCGATACCTGTTTTGTTTTTTTTCCGGTACCGTAAGTACAACTTTGCCCTAAGCGGGCCATGTCGATTCCTGTCGGAACTGACGGGTGCAGTATACGTGCCGAGGACGAGCGCCGAAGAAGAACGCCTGTTCTCAAATCATCTTTTCCAGTAGCACTCGCGAACAGTTGCTGTTTACTCGCGTTTTCATTTCGGCAAGCATGTTAACAGGTTAAAGCATTCACACCACATCCGTTCTACGTGCTCAAGTCGCACTGCTTTCGCGAGCAAGCTTGAAAATAGAAGAGATGCCGGTTTTTTGCGCTAGTCGCGAGCAAATGGTCGCAGTATTCAACAAAAAACACGAGTTTGCATGTGTTGTGACCTCTCTCAGCCACCGTAGACGTCTCGCCCTTGACTAAGCGAGACCTGACAGACACATGTTTCATGTACTTACACATTTGTAGTGCTAAATATTAATTCTTCAAGCGTTGGAATAATCACTGGCACACAAACCTATCCACCCTGGGCTTTGGGTCCAAACTCACTTCTTCTTCTTTGAGGTTTATTGGAGATTTGCAAACACAGTGCACTACCGCCACCAACTGTTCAGGTGTGGTTTGTATTTTGACAGGACAGCAGCGGCCGCTGCGCAACGCGTCTGTTCGGTTTTGGTGTGAATACACAAATACATCGCTTGTGGTGTAAATGAGGCCTTAGAGTTAAAGTTTGAAACAGTTTTAATAAAGTAGTGAATTTAGGAAAAAATGAGTTCTGTTTTTTTATTTTTATCGTGGTATTAAATGAGTATTGAGAATCGTGGAAATTCACTGGTATTGGTATCGACTAATGAAATTCTGGTATCGTGACAAGCCTAGTATATGGGCAGCGTATTTCCACATCTAACTGGTGAATTTAAGGTTTATTTCAACCAAACCAGAGTTGGTGATTGTTGCAACAGTGGAAAGAGAAACCAAGATGGTTTCTGTGAGTTTCATTTTGTTGTTTGTTGTTTATTTAAATGGAGTCGGGTGGGTTTGACCAGAACTCAACCAGATCAAACACTGTTGTTCCCATCAGTCATCAGGACACAAACACATGGGTAAATAGACACCAGTTGGAAACGTATCCTTTAATGGGGCAACAGAGTGGTTAGATTTCATTGGTGAGGATGCAAATAAAAGTAATTCTAACCAAAGTGAGTGGGAAGAAAGCAGCTGTGGTTTCCTAAATGTGGCTCAGGACCCTGCAAGAGGTCACCAGGGTCGAAAACACATAAACTAATGAGCGTTATTCAGACTTACTTTCCATCTTTGTGTAATTCTGGACTAATTGTAATTGTTGCTGCTCTATTTTCATGCAGCTAAAACTGACTTGAGATGAGGGTGAACAAGTGCACGCGGCTTCATATTAGGAGGTCACGAGGAAAAAGTGGAATAATGGACAAAGCAGCTGCAGGTTGAGATAAGACAGAGGGAAAATCAAGCTGATGCTGACCTGCAGCAGAGGAGCAGTGATTTCATTTGTTGTTTCTGACAACAACAAAAAGGAAACAGGAGCTTTGGAAAAACGTGGTGTTCAGTTACCGGCACGTTTGTCTGATTTATTGGCTTGTGGAAAACCCAAAACAGTCAGAAGTGATACTGCGTGCAGCGACAGCGCCATAAACTCTGTGATGTATTTTAATAAAGCGTGGGGAAGAGAGAGAGAGGAGCAGCAGGGGTGTGTGAGGCATGAATGAAAGACAGCAGCTGGGTAAGTCAGGGCGTATCTGATTGGATCGAAGCTCCACTCCCGGGGGGCCGACTCCATTGCCTCATCGGAGAAAATCCTCGGAAAATGTACCACTTCCAGGTTCTCACAGATGGGCGATAAGGGAACGAGGGATCCCCCCCCCCCCCCACTTCCACCAACACACCCTTCTTCTCCCAGGCCTCCTCCTCCTCCTCCACATGGCCCTGTGTGCCCCCATCATCCAGCTACCCGCCTCAACTGCCAAGCTAGGACATCCAGCTGTTGCACATTCCAGCCCTCAGACCTCCCACACCCACGCTGCATGACATTTGGAGGGTTGGAAACTGCCACATTTTGATAATCTGTGCATTCATACAACATCGCTACTGCTGTCAGCGTATGTGCCAATTCGGCCGGACACTGCGCAGGAGAAGAGGAGCTAATTCTTCATGTTGGGAAATAGATTGGATGTTTTGGGGAGTGTGTGAAAACCAGCTGTCACAGAGGTCGACGCAGACAGTGGATCAGCTGTCCTTTAAAGCATCTTGACAGCCTGATCAAGTGAATCTTGACTTGTTTTAAAATGGATGCTTCACACTTGATCTTCCTATTATCTGGGACATTAAGCACTTAAATTATTAGTGAATTATCTTTTATCTTGCACCACTATACGACCAGCAGTTTGATGGAAACAGATTTATATTTTTTTGAGAACTGTACTTTTTACATGTCTGCAAACGCTCGTCTACTATAAACTGACTGTATCTGGGTTTCAGTAAATTTGGTGACATTTATAAGTGAATGTATGGATGAATCATTTTCTAACACCCCTTTCAATGCTATCACTCCATTAAATGGGCATTATGAAGAAGAAGAAAAATATATTCTTCCTCAAGGGGAAATTCAATTCTTTAACTCTGCTGTCATACACACACAGGCCCAAAATACACACACACATGCACAAACAGGACCTACAGTATACATGTATTAAATGGAGAGACGTCAAACAGGATAGGCATCCGAGCATTTTGTCTTCAGTGCCTTGTTCAAGGGCACTGAAGGCCGTTATCAGCCCATTAAATGGCTGGCTGTTTATTGTTAGGCGGGGACCTCTAATGGCTGTAGTATCTATGACGTGATGGAGGCAAAAGAGGAAGTGACATAAGCCCTTTTTAAACAGGAATTGTGCAAATTTGCAGGAAAGCCCAATCAGTCTTTTTTCAGCATTGGCAGTATAAAAACAAAATCTGGGAGTGCAGCAAAATGTCGCCTTCCTTCTTTTGTTTATACAGAATGCGCCTTTTTCGGGGCAATGGGGGGCGTGAGCAAGTAACAAAACGTGTAGCTCAGCGTGTGACGTAAACAGTGACGTGGGAGAGAGCCATGGCTAGTCAGTCCTTCGGCGATTCTCTCGTAAGTCGGCCCGTTCTTCACCGTCCCCGTCATCTGACGGTTAATGGCCTCTTCGTTTGCGAGGGCAAGGAGGGCGT